TGCTTCAGTTGCTATACCGTGGACTGAAATGCTCCAGGAAAGCTTTGAAATTCTAAGCTAATCAAAATAACCACAGCTGATCTACACCTGATTGAGTTTACAAGTCATTTTTAGGAGGGGGGTGATCCTTTTCCAACTTTTTTTTTTTTTTTTTTTTTTCTGACATGTTGAAGTTATCTCTTTGGATGTTATAGGTTGCACTAGTTAAATACAGCTAGGTAAAAAAAAAAAAAAATTGTGTCTGCATTTCAAGCTGCAAAGCAACACCATTTAGATTTTTAACGCAGGGTTTCTTTTCCACTGTATATCCACTGTAGATGAATACCTGTGATGTGGACAGATCTGTGCTTCCACCTGGTGATGTTGGATGGGTTTGACATAAAAGTATTAGAATCCTCAGTCCTCTAAGTGCAACCCCTCGACCTGGTCTCGCAACTGCTCACTCTTGTTAGAGGATGTCTTGCAAACGGAAATAAACATGGAAAATCAAGATAGGTCAAAAAAAGTGTGCTACCTAAAGAGAAAAAAAAAATGTACATAAAAAAAAATTATACAAAATTTTACAGCCATGCACTTATCTAACAGCACCGCATTGCCATCCTTAAAAAAAATTAGGGTGTATAAATGTATGGCTATATGCAATTTTTCACCTGAAAAGGTGTAGGGGAGGAGATGAGATAGATAAAATATATATACATTTCTTTGTGCACTAGTACGCAGTAATGTTAGAACGGGAAGGGGCCATCCGCAAAGTTGGGAGCATGAAATTGTCCAAAATGTCTTGGTATGTTGATGTTTTAAGAGTTCTTTTCACTGAAACGAAGGAGCCAACCCCTGAAAAACAACCCCACACCATAATCCACCCTGCACCAAACTTTACACTTGGCACAATGCCGTGAGGCAAGTACCATTTTTTGTCAACCACCAAACCTAGACTCATCAGACAGAGAAGCGTGATTCGTCACTCCAGAGAACACGTCTCCATTGCTCTAGAGTCAGTGGTGGCATGCTTTACACAACTGCATCTGACGCTTTGCATTGCACTTGGTGATGTAAGGCTTGGATGCAGCTGCTCGGCCATGGAAACCCATTCCATGAAGCTCTCTATACACTGAAGGCCAAATGAAGTTTAGGGGTCTTTAGCTATTGACTCTGCAGACAGATTTCGACTTCTGTGCATGCGCTGACCCCGCTCGGTTTTTTTTACGTGGCTGAGTTGATGTTCCCAGTTGCTTCCACTTTGTTATAATACCATTAACAGTTGACCATGGAATATTTTGGTAGTAAGGAAATTTCATGGACTTACTGCACAGGTGGCAACCTTTAACAGTACCATGCTTGAATTCACTGAGCTCCTGAGAGCGACTCATTCTTTCACAAATATTTGTAGAAGCAGTCTGCATGCCTAGGTGCTTGATTTTATACACCTGTGACCATGGAGCTGTTTGGAACACCTGAATCCAATAATTTGGAGGGTTGTCCTAAAACTTTTGGTGTGTGTGTACTTGTATATATCACACACACTGATGCTCACCCCTATCCTCCATTTTTCAACATGACTTTCTCTTCCAGCTTGGTGTAATTCCTCTTGCTTTTTCCATCCACACCTAGGCTTTATTAATCTGGTCCATGTAGCTTTGATATGTGTGCCACAATTCTGGGTTCACCACTAACGCTGATATCAGTTGCAATTGGGAAACATCTCTGGCCATCTTGGACATACATACATGCATGCATACATACATACATACATACATACATACAGTGTGTGTATGAGGAGTAGGTCAAATTTTGTCCAAAGAAAACACCTCTGTACTCATTACACAAAAGGAGCCTCAATTGTAAGTCTCATGCACACAGGTCGTTGTTGCAGCCACTTTTAGAGGTGTTAGGTGTGATTTTGTGTGGTGTTTGGTTTTTTTTTTTTTTTTGTCTTCCAAACAGCCCTCCATATTGTTCTGTGTCCATGCACTCAGACGTTTAGAAGCTTTTAGTAGCAGTAGCATTTACCAGTAGGAGAAAAAAAATGACCAATGTGTCTAAGAGCAGTAGCGTTTTGGCAGAAAATGCTGACCGCTCCTAAATTCTGCTAAATGCCAGAGGGTCTCTTCCTCAAAAACCTGGCCAGTGGTTGTGGGGGGCTGCAGGTGGGGTGCTTATCAGAATCTGGAAGCCCCCCATGTGAATGAGTACCCCTCTATTCATTCACCAAAAAGTTGTAAAAAAGACAAGTGTTTTAAAAATAAAGTCCTTTTTATTAAAAAAAAAAAATAATAATGTCCACCGGTGTGTAGATCCATCGTCAATCACGCCGCCACTGCCGACCCAGGAGAAAAAAAACAGAAACAAACCTTCAGTCATGACTAAGGCTGCCACTGTCTGACTGCTCTTAAATAATGAAGAAGCAGGAGTGAAGTAACCAGGTGGCCCGCCCCTTTAAAAGCTGCCAGATGGCGGGGGCCTTCGTCGGGACCGGAGGTTTTTTTTCTTTCTCTTCGGGTCAGCGGTGGCGGCGGGCGTTTCTGTCTATGGCTGAGTGCACATCCCGGAGCCCGGTGAGCAATGTGTCCGCCGGACACAGCGGATCGCATTACCGCTGTTTTGGATGATCACATGGGGTTTTACTATGACTGCTGTGACCAATCACAGCACTCGCATAGGCTGCGATATTTACTTTCACTGTTTACTATCCGGCTGCTTGTCCACTCTCACTGCAATGCCAGCCACCCGTGTCCCTGATCACTGCCCCAGTATATACATAAATGCAGGGAGCACCTGTCCCAGTGCGCTCAAAACACCCCCATACACCATACTAATGTCCTGGTCACTGCCATGCCCCAAACAAGCATCCTGATCACTCTTATGTCATACTAGTGTCTGGCATTTTAGGATGTCAACTGATCAATTTTTAAATGTGTATCCAATAGTTTGTAGACTATATATCTTTCACACAGACTAAATAATATAAACTGTTTTGGGTTATTTTTACCCCAGAAATTTAGCAGAATACATTGTGGCCTAAATTTTATGAATCAAAAATATCTATTTTGCTAAATTTTACAACCAAAACTAAGCAAAAGGATATTTTTTTTTTTTTTTTCTTTCAAAATGTTCGGTATTTTTTTAATTTGTATAGCAAAAAATAACCGGTGATAAAATGCCACCAAAAAGCTCAATCTGTCTCCAAAGGATAAAATTTCATATGGATACAGTGTTGCATGACTGAATAAGTGATGGTGCTGAAAGCTGAAAATTGGCCTGCACTGGAATGGGACCCCCACAACCATTGGCCCGAGATGTGGGGAAAAGGCCCTTGATCTAATCAACGTGGGGGGGCTCGTTGGTCCCCTGCCCCCCTTTCCAGACCTGCCAGGCTGCATTCTCTGATAAGGGTCTGGTATGGATTTTGGGGGGGGGACTCCCATGCAGTTTAATTTTGGTGTGGGGTCCATCTTAAAATCCATACCAGAGCCGAAGGACCTGAATGTTTTTGGTTTTTTTTTTTTTTGTGTGTTTTGTTGTTTTTGTCGAGTTTCTAAGGCAGTTTTTAGCTCTTCTAGTGTGCTTGAGACCGTAGACACGATAGAGATATATATATATAGATATATAGATAGATATATATATATATATATATATATATATATACATACATACATACATACATACATACATACATACATACATACATACAGGATCTGTGCATTCACACTGTTTATACCAAATTCTGTCTCCATGTGGCAGCCCTACTGTCCAGTGACTAGTCATTCTTTGTTATAAGTGAGTTCATTAGTTCACTAATGTTTGATACTTGATGCTTATAAAACCTGTTCCTGTTGAGGCAGTTTTACGATACCCTTATTTCCATTCATGAACTTAAAGGTAGCCAAAATGGTTTTTGCTGTGATTCCTGTCAAAATTGGTCAATAAAACTAAGTAAGGTATTATATTTTGAAACTAGTTTATAGTTTTAAGGGTTTTCTTTTCCAGCGGTTCAGCAAGAGAGAAGGGATGGCAGCCATAAACAATGGACTTTGCATTTTGGATGCAAGGTCCACTTTGATGTACACGGTCGCAATTAAAAAAAAAAAAAAAAAAAAAATTCTATAAACGAGGAATGGTTGACTATAACAGGTTAGACAATCCCATTTATGACTAGCACCTTCTCTAGTAATACCTATAGAATATACTTGTAGGTTCAGGCACATACTGGGTCTGAGGTGATGTTGGCAGTGAATTTGGATATGAGAACAGGCATGCAGCAGACTCTGTGAAAGCACCTATATTAGGATTGTTTGTCAGCAGTATATAATACCTACTTGAGCAGGGGGTACAAGAATGTTGGGTTTTTTTTTTTTTGTTTTCGAGGGTTTTTTTTTTTTTTCCATTTGTGTACATGGCATTGGCATTGTGTGCATTGGCTGCTTCTCCAGCAAAGGAACAAGTGATGTTCACTGTATTTAGAGATTAAAGGAGAAGTTTAGCCCAAGTTATTTTGGCTGTACATCTCCTGAGGATCATAGAAATGCAGTTTGTGCTGCGCTCCTGTGACCCAGATTCAGCTAACCAGGCTAAAGTCTGCTGTCTGTTTGATGTCACTCAGCTGGTCAAGGTTTTGGAAAGATTCTGAATTTACAATCGGGATCCACCAAGATGCCTTTACCACCAGCTGGCTCAGCCTCTGGAAGATTGTAAACAGCTGTTCTTGCCCCTCCACAGCCCTCCAGTGAGAGCTGGAGGAGAAGAGCCTCTGCTCACTGAAGGCTGAGAAATGAGCATTCAGTGGTCTTTGATTGCTCAGTTCTCAGTCTTTGAAGTGGCAGGGGACAGATGCAGCATCAGATGATGCTGCAGCCACCTAGGTGAGTGTAAATGTGTTTTCTTTGTGTTTTGTTTTTTTTTTTTTTTTCTTTAGAAACATTTCTCTTTTTAAGAAAGAGTCGGTCAGATTCTGTGCTGTATGCAATAGTAACACTTCTGTGCCCAAAATTTATATCTTCTAGTAATGAGCACCTGTCTATGTGGTTTCTTGGGAATAATCTTTAAGAAGGTGGAGAACACGGACAGCGTAAACATTGATTTAACGCAAGACATTCAGTTATTCACAGATACTGGCAAGTCTTTACTGCTTTTGAATATGTGTTTTGATCTTTATGCAGACCTGTCCTGTATAGTAGAAATGTCCAGTACTAATACATGTGTCTGCTAATGTCTCCCATGCACTTTTTGCCTTAGCAGGTTGAGTACAGGAAGTGTACGTGATAGTGCCTGCTGTCCTGTTACAGCTGTGTTCCCAGAAGTGCTCAGAGCCGAGAGCTTTCACTTATTTTGCACAGAGGAGAGATCAGGCATCGGATCTATCCTCCATTCTTCTCACTGGCCAGCCTGACCATGATTGGGGCTGGGAGGGGCACTTATTAAGTACAAAGTGGTCAACTGGCTTTAGAGCTTCTTTGATCACTTTAACAGTAAAGATAAAAGCCAAGAAATAAGTTGTAAAAGCAGCTCACAGCTGCTATTGCAACCAAGAGCAAATTACCAGGCTTTATTGCTTAACCACTTGCTAACCGCAGATAGCCAAATGACGGCTTCACTGCGGCCGGCCATTTCTGGGAGGGACACAGCTGATCACGTGAGGTGGTAAAAGGCCAATCACAGTGGCCTTTTACCACGTGATCAGCTGTGTCCAATGACACAGCAGATCACCAGTAAATGCGGTTGTCACAGCGTGAGGAAAGTACTGCCAATAACCGGCAATTGTCAGAGGAGGGATCAGCACCGATCATCAGGGCACTAAGTGCCACTCCCAGTGTCACCAGTGTGCCCAGCAGTACCACCTATTGGTGCCCTTGATTGTTGCCTATCAGTGCCACCTGTCGGTGCAGTCTCATCAACGCACATCAGTGGAGAAAAATTAGCTGTTTGCTAAATTTTATAATCGAAGCAAATTTTTTTTTTTTTCGCTTTATAGCGCAACAAATAAAATGCCCAGCAGCAAGTACATGCCACCAAAAGAAAGTTCTTTGTATAAAAAAAAAAGATAATGTCATATGGGTGCAGTGTTGCGTAATTGTCATTCAAAGTGCAACAGTGCTGAAAATTGGCCTGGGCAGGAAGGGGGGGGGGGGTATAATTGCCTGGTAGGCAAATGGTTAATGGCAGAAATGAAAAGTCCGGTCACTAAGGCTGGCTGTGCTGTCTGTCAGGGAAATGTAAATCTCAGAATTGGATGCACAGAAATACAAATCATTTGCCAGGCAAAAGCTATTTCAACTCTGTAATTGTTTGGATTTTGGTTTTAAACAGTCTGGTTTTTTTTTTTTTTTTATATATTAGTACAGTTGTGATTAGCGTTACTGGAATCCTGTGATAAACTTGCAGTATCTTTTTCATTGCAGTTTACAGACAGGCACATAACATAAATATGCTGAAAAAGGATGTGAAGATTGAAGCCACACATGTGAGGAGGAAACAGCTCTATAAGTACCTCCCACCAGAAATGCTGCAAAAGAGAAAGAAAGTAAGGATTTACATTAAATGTTAACTTAGTCTGTTTTTAAATGATTAGTTCACATAGAACTGGGATTTCATGTATGGGTAAATATTGGTAGGCGGGATTGACTGTCAGTTTCATGTACAGTGGGGATCGAAAGTTTGGGCACCCCAGCTAAAAATTTGTATTAATGTGCATAAAGAAGCCAAGGAAAGATGGAAAAATCTCCAAAAGGCATCAAATTACAGATTAGACATTCTTATAATATGTCAACAAAAGTTGATTTTATTTCAATCATTTACACTTTCAAAATAGAAAAAAAAAAATGGCGTCTGCAAAAGTTTGGGCACCCTGCAGCGTTAATATCTTGTACTGCCCCCTTTGACAAGTATCACAGCTTGTAAACGCTTTTTGTAGCCAGCCAAGAGTCTTTCAATTCTTGTTTGAGGTATCTTTGCCCATTCTTCCTTACAAAAGTCTTCCAGTTCTTTGAGATTTCTGGGCTGTCTGTCACGCACTGCTCTTTTAAGGTCTATCCATAGATTTTCAATTATGTTGAGGTCAGGAGATTGTGAAGGTCATGGCAAAACCTTCAGTTTACGCCTCTTGATGTAATCCCCCGTGGATTTCGAGGTATGTTTAGGATCATTATCCATTTGTAGAAGCCATGCCCTCTTTAACTTCAGCTTTTTCACAGATGGCATCAAGTTACCATCCAAATTTGCTGAAATTTTATTTAAACCATTTTTTCTTCTACTCGTGAGATGTTCCCTGTGCCACTGGCTGCAACACAACCCCAAAGCATGATTGATCCAACCCCATGCTTAACAGTTGGACAGTTTTTCTTTTCATTAAATTCTGTGCCCCTTCTCCAAATGTACCTTTGCTCATTCCGGCCAAAAAGGTTCAATTTTAACCTCATCGGTCCACAGAACTTGTTTCCAAAATGCATCAGGCTTGTCTATATGTTAATTTGCAAAGTTCAAACGATGATTTTTGTGGTGAGGACGTAGAAGAGGTTTTCTTCTGATGACTCTTCCATGAAGGCCATATTTGTACAAGCATCTCTTTATAGTGGAATAGTGTACCACAACTCCAGTGTCTGCCAGATCTTTCTGGAGGGATCGTGCAGTCAAACGTGGGTTTTGAATTGTTTTTCTCACAATCCTACGAGCTGTTCTGTCTATTTTTCTTGGTCTTCCAGATCTTGCTTTAACTTCCACTGTTCCTGATGACTGCCATTTCTTAATTACATTCCGAACAGAGGATATTGACATCTGAAAACGCTTTGCTATCTTCTTATAGCCTTCTCCAGCTTTGTGAGCGTCAACTATTTTCAGTTTCAGTTTTCTAGACAACTGCTTAGAAGAACCCATGGTGCTGATTGTTGGGGCAAGGTCAGATGAGTCTGGGCATTTAAAACCTTTGAGATTGACATCACCTGGTCTTCCCAGACGATTGAGAACAATCCATGACACTGGCAGGTCTCAGCTTGGCAAAGGGGGCAGTGCATGCTATAAATTCTGCAGGGTGCCCAAACTTTTGCAGACGCCATTTTTTTTTTTTTTTTCTGTTATTTTGAAAGTGTAAATGATGGAAATAAAATCTAACTTATGTTGACATATTATAAGAATGTCTAATCTGTAATTTGATGCCTTTTGGAGATTTTTCCATCTTTCCTTGGCTTCTTTATGCACATTAATACAAATTTTTAGCTGGGGTGCCCAGACTTTCGATCCCCACTGTATATTACAGCACCTGTGACAAGACACTTCAACAGTTATTTTTTCACCCTCACCAGCCACAATTAAACTGCACACCTCCTTCAGTAAAATAAATCCTGTTGCAGTATTCTGTTCTACACTGTTTAGTAAATCAAGCCCCAACATTCAGCACAGGAAAGTGGAGCTGAAAATTCAGGTGCTGGAGTGTGAGATCTGAAGATGTGGGGTTATTTTTGTCAGCACCACCTACTTTAAAAATGAAATGCCAGTTTCAAATGGACTGATTCACGTTTACCAATTATGATTTTTTTTTTTCCAGCAAAGTATTCCAGATATTGGTAAATCATCCTCTGGTTTGTTGTCTAAACGTTCATCCCTGGATGGCAATTGCCTGGACAGCTCCCTGGATACAGACTCTGGGTCAAATTTGGAGTCTCTTGCATCTTGCCACAAATCCTCTAGATCAAACAGTCCAACTTTCTGTGAGGCACAGAGGTCAGTACAGTTTCCTTTCCAAATTGAAGTTAAGATAAGGTCACCTTTTTTTGGAGGGGGGGGGGGGGGGGTATGCACATCTTTTTTGCAGGTAAAGTGTTTTTTGTTTTTTTGGGTTTTTTCTTTTTCCTCTACCCCCCCCCCCCCCCCCCAATCACCTGCCATTATAAGAGGTTTCAGATGTCGGGAGGTGGGGCTTGGTTTCTGATCATGTGGCCGCCGTGATTGGCTGTCAAAGTGGTCACATGATTGGAAAGCTCCCGATCACAAGTAGTGGGAGCTTTTGGCTAGCTGCTGGCAACTGAGCGGGATCGAGCACGGTGTGCGCTCTTGGCATAGTTCTGTTTATCTGTAGGTACCCATATATACAGCCTCGTGGCGTTAAAGCCCAGCTGCTGAGAGGCCACATAAATACGTATAGCCGGTAGGAAGGAGTTAAATCGTGACAGCGGGCTCAGGAGAAGATCCCACCAGGCCTGCTGTCACAATGAGGGATCGCGGTGGGGTGCAGGGGCTGCTGCAGCAGTGATGTCACATGTTACACCGTGAATACCGTGTAACTTGTTAGGAAAGCTGAGTTCATACTTTCATTTCACCAATAATTATAAAAATCTAATTTCTTCTCTTAATTGAGAAACTTTTATGTATATTAGACATATTTTAACATTAAATGACTGTTTCAGGAATACCATACCGGAGGACTGTATATCAAACCTTGTTCCATCAACTCAGAGGTTGGTCTGTTCAGGTGTGCCTTCCACAACTACTCAAGGATTGGACCGTATAGATCCTGAAGAACACTATGAGACATCTGCATCCTATCAAAAATCTAGATCAAACAGCCCTTCAAAGCCAGGAGCACACAGGTCAGAGCAACCACCACAAAAAAGCCATCCTCCCAGATTCTTGGTAAACATCAGCAGAACACCAGTCCCCGTGCTTGTTGTAACTACTTTCTCGCTGCCCTATAGCCGAAGTACTGCTGCAGGGCTGTGCAAAATCACGTGTGTGTATATATACGTGACTTGCATTTCTGGGTAGGGCAGTGTGCGCTTTGGCAGCTAGGGATGTCAGTCATCAGGTCCCGGCTGGGACTTGGCGATTGGTAAAGCTGAAAATGGTGTGAGACCTATATGTAAACACAGGTCTCTCTCCTGTCAGCATGGACATGCTGTTTTGTATCTCTTCACAGCTGAGAAATACAAAACAGCATGTCTCCCTAGTAAAACACACAGCACACTGTTAACTCTTTGCTTCCAGATGTTAACCCTTTCCTGCCCAGTGTCAGTGCTTTTTATTAGCACTGATCACTGTATTGGGGTCAGTGACAGTTGCCACCCAGTGTCAGAATGCCCGCCGTAGTCCTGCTATAAGTCACTGATTGCTGCCATTTCTACTATAATAAAAAAAATTCCAGTATATATACCGTCATTTGTAGATGCTGTAGCTTTCATATAAACCAATTAATTTACACACATTGGCATTTTTTCTCTCTTCTTTTTTCAGAGATGTGGCAGAATACATCTTGGCCTAAATTAAGAAATATTTGATTTTTTTTTTTTTTTTTTGTATTGGATATGTTTTATAGCAAAAAGTCAATTCTTTAAGAACAACAATTTTTTTTAGTGCAAAAAATGCAGAGGTGATCAAATACAACTGAAAGAAAGCTCTATTTGTGAAGAAAAAATTACATAAATTTCATTTATGTACAGTGTTGCATGACCACGCAATCGTCAAAGTAACACAGGGCCGTATCGCAAAAAATGGCCTGATCAGGAAGGGGGGGTAAATTCTCTGCAGGGCAACTGGTTAATTTGCTTTGCATCCAATCCACAAAGTAGATTAGCCACAAACACTGAAGTTTATGGTGCTGTATCACTGTCACTATAGCCACTGAAATCTATAATGCAGTTGCCTGTACCAAGAAAACGTTGAATCTCATGACATGACCGCTCCATTTTGTGATACTAGAATTGCCTGCTGTCTTGACTAGTTTTATTATTTTTTTTTTTTTTTTTTACTTTAATTTTTTTTTTGTATATTTTACTAAAATTGATCAATTTTTAGATATTGGACAAAGTACAATTTCAATGTTGCTAAATTTAAAGTGTGATTCATTATAGTGATGGTTACCAACTATGCCAGAGATGAACATTATCTGCTCCTTGACATTGATACATTAATGTCTTTTTTCAGGAAGCCTAAATCAGAAATTTCCTCACCAAATCTCACACCCCCATTAAATGTTGTCCCTTCCGAAACCATTCGAGGGCAGTCAATTCCTGGAATTGGAAAAGGTAGGCATTTACAAAGTCTTTGTTGTGTCCAGGCTGTGTTATTTGCGAGGAGAAAGACTATGTAAAAAAAATGTGTTTTGTTTTTTTTTTCCTTTTTCCCCTCTATTGTATTTTTAGAAGCTGATCTTGATCCTGCTGTAGCAGTGAAGAATCAGGTGCCAACTGGATACAGTATACCTACAGTAGTTGGACTAAATGTTTCACGTCCCATTCCTTCTCCAGAAATTTCTCAGGGATCTCCGCACAATGGAGAGCTAAATGTCAGTCCGAATTCTGCATCTAAAAGGCCTCATTCTCCAATTCTGGAGCTTTCTCCAAAGCGAATAAAAGACACCCAAAAGGTTTGAATGCAATTAAAACATTAAACATTGTTTTTGTTTGTGTTTTTTTGCTTTTTTTTTTTTTTTTTTTTTTCCCTGTCCCTTTTCTAGTCCCAAACTCTTCTGAAAAACCCTTAAAAGATAAGAAACTCAGTGAGTGAATACATTGTTCCATAGGAGTCTAATGGCACACCCAGGACTATTATACGCCCAATATACATGGGCATGCTCTTACATGATTTACACAGATATGCATTGGTGAAAAGCACTTTTTTTATAACTTTTATTTAATGCCGACCTATTATGCACTACTGTACAGTTGAACCCTCTCCCCAAATTACCTCACAATCTAATGTCTCCCTCAGTCTGGGGAGAAACCAGTTAACCTACTAGTTTTTAGACTTTCAGAAGGAATGAATAACCTTGACAAAACGAATGACCTGGGGGAAATATGCAGCAAGTGAAGCTGATTTCAGAACTTCCAGTCTTTATACTGGGTCGGTAGGAGAGGTCATTGAACTATCAGTCTGTATGCCTCTCAAGGCTGGCTTAAAAAAGATGGCCAACCGAATACTCAATTACTCATGTTTGCTGACCATATGCATATATGCAGCCTCACGGAAGTGGGTCTTTGTCCATGCGTATCTTCATTCTGGGAGTGCGCAGCACAATGTACCTTCTGTTCCAGGTTGCTGTGATAGCCTCTGATTGGCTATCGCAGTGACCAGTAACTGTGAGCCTGCCTCTGGTGTTTACTTCCTCTTTAAATGAAGAGAAATATACAATAGCTTTCTCTTCCCAGGAGAGGAAGAAATAAACAAGTTTGTAAAAAATAAATAAAATTAAGAATAAAGGAAAAAATAGCGAGATCAAGGATTGATCTAGGTTAGTGTGAGGCTCAAAAGTCAGGTGGTTGTTTATTTTTGTTACTAATTGAACAAATGCTCTAAAAAGAATCCGTGTCCAGTATGTTTTAGGTAGGATAAAGTGAAAATGCACGCCATTGTTTCTGGGCCATACTACGGTTGCAAACAACTGACATACACATATTTGGTATTGCTGCAATCGTGAGGCACAGAAAAGTTTTCTATTTTGGGTTCTTTTGATAAATTATGGTAAGGGCTAGAAATGTATAGCTAAATTAGAAAATTTACTATTTTTTGGTCCAGTTTTCCTTTTTGATAATAAAAAAAATCAGATGTCCATTACCACTTACCAAAAGAGAGCTCAATTTTGTCCTGAAAAAAAGGTATAATCCACATGGATACACAAAGTAGTTGCAATAATATGTATTCAGTATCAAAAGCGGTAACCCCGAGCTACACTCGGGCTTACCATGCGGTGCTGCTCCGGCATCTGTTCTTCACTTACCTTGTCCTGCGTTCCCGCGATGTCCCTCCTGCCGTGTCCCCGGCAATGTCCTCCGGCCAATTCCGGCATCTGTCTTCTGGGTTCCGTCCCCTGCGACGTCGGGACGGAACTGGCGGGAAATTTGAAAATGACAAAAAGTGACATTCACTAAAATCACATAGTAAAACATTACTGTATCAAACCATTTCACATTTTGTCCCGAGTGCTTTGTCCTGTGCCCTGCCTGCATTTTTACTGTTCTTTCTGCCTGGAAACTGAGAAACGTCCATGGTGTCCAAAAAGCGTCCCTTTAGGTCAAAATCGGTTTTAGACCAGCTAGAGAACAGCTGTAGTAAATCAGAACCACTTACAGAATTGAGTAATAATGATTTGTGGGGAAATTCGTCATCAGACACTGAAAACGATTCTGCGACTTTGCTCAGTGATGTGCGAACTTGGCGCTCTATTTCAAATTTCAGTGTTTTTGGTTTAATTATATTGAATTAAATTTATATTTTTTTTATGATTATTTCTTAAATTATAATTTATGATTTCGAGTTTCAAATTTTATCATACCCGGGATGTTTACTAGACTCTTGTTCGGACAGATTTCAGTGAGTTATTCCTAAAAAATTACAGGCCTACAATAAAAAAAATACATATTTCCATGCAAAAATGTACTGCTTCGAGCACAGAAATATGGACATAATCAGACCGCTAGGGAGGTTAATGATGTTTTCCTTCAGCATATAGTCTATTTTTCTCTTGAATGGATCTAATTTTTCTCTAAGGCTAGGCTCACATTGATGCAGCTCTGCATGCCGTGTTTTGCTCGGGCACCGAATGGGCTGCCATACTTTCTAAAATGCAGGGAAAAGGTCCCTGCACCATTTCTGGAATTTCAGTCTGCATAGAAATGACATGTGCAGTGCAGTTCCCAGTGCGGGAGCCATTTCCAGTGCGTGCAGCATGCCATTGGGATTAATGGCACTCGCATGCATCCAGCATGCTTTTCTGTACAGGTGGTTGTGGGAACAGATGCAGACCCACAATGGGAACCACCCACACAGATGTGAACATAGCCTTAATATTCTGTAACCCTTCTCAATCTCTTCTTGAGACATCAGACTGCTGTAAAGTGTCACTTTTCCTAGTGCTGTAATTTTAAACATAAAGACTACTGGTCCTCAACACAGACTTTCAGCTTGCATTTAAAAACAAAATTTAAAGGACATATACTCAGATGCATCATTTTGCTGGCAGTTTTTATCCTAAGTTGTTTTTTTTTTTTTTTTTTTTTTCCCCTTTCCTTAATACAGTACCAAAGGAGTAACTGCAAAAAATGACTCCCATATACAGCAGAAATCTTTGAATTTTCTGTTATGTCCTGATCTTCCTTTTTATCTTCTTTAGCTTCTGGGATTGACAGATTCTGCCTTTGTGGAGCCTTCTCTCCCTGAGCAGGACGATCGGAGGAAATCTGTGGTAAGGCGGATTTTTTTTTTTCTTTAAATGCATATTTCTTTATCGTACATCATGGAATACAGAGCATGCTATTCATGACTATTGACATAACATGGGTTATATGCCACCTATAGGTAAATGACGCTGGCAGATCAAACTGGAAGTCCTCTCATATATAACCCCTCCTACACAGGAAGTACTTCAGTTTTTTCACCATGTCTATACGTGGATGGTCACTGATGTGGTGCATGTGCTCTTGGAGCATACTTAGAGGTCTGGAACGGTTCTGCTGAGAATCAAGGACTTCAATTGGATCCATTCAAAAAGCTCTTAACCAAAATGGATGGTACCCAAGCCTCTTTGGATAGGAGAGAAGAATCCTTGAGGTATTTCTGTAATGTGGGCTTACGGCTTTGGACCCTGCATTATGGAACCCTGTGCAGAGTTTGTTCTGACCCCAAGGTGCTTTCCAGCAGGGTGCTATATGGATCCAAGGGGATGGACCCCAGATATAAGGGGGACTAAGTCAATGAAGTTCTTTATGAAAGAGCCTGCCGTGATGGTTAAAGATTGAACTTTTGCTATTATTCAGAGTCCTGCAGCGGGGTTGGTAAGTTCTATTGGTAGTGTTTGTTTAAAAATTGGTCTGGCCACTGGGAGTAGTGTGCTGTTTGGTCTAGTCTGGTCTGGCCATGCTCTCTCTGAAGGAGTATTGGGCTGCAGTTTAGTCCAGCCACTAGAGGCCGCAGGGCCACTCTATAGCCTACTCTTGTGCAGTGGAGGCAGGAAGTAGAAGGGTGGCCATTGTGGCTTATGGTTGACATCACATTTGGGCTGATGGTTTAGTGAGGCTTCTGAGAGAAAGCAGGGACTAGATCTGTGGCTGGATTCTAATACCTGAATAATTATTTGAACTGTTTAATGCATAAACTGCATACATACATAATTCCTGCGTGATTGTATAACTATAGACCAACATGGCTTTGGACCTGCATTCCTACGGGACTGCAGTCAATGGCAATATAGTTGCTGCATTGTTGAATTAAAGGGTCCCAGAAGGGGCAGTCGAGAGGCAGGTGTGCTGCCCTCAGGTCCAGTGGACCCAGAGAAAGGGGGTAATCTGGTGGTGTTTCTTTTACGATAGACTAGTGGTGTCGGGTGTATCTGGGTCACTGCGTCTGACATTGCAGTTATTTTTGGTGGCGAAGCTGAAATAGGCTGGGGCTGCATCACTCTGAATGTGCCTGATTTTGTCTGACGCTAAGCAGGGTCAGCTCTGGTTAGTACTTGGAGGGGAGTCTGCCTGGGAATACCATATGTTGTAAGCTTTTCCCCTCTAGAATCTTGAGACGCCTGTGTTTTTGTCAGGCAGAGGATGCTATGACAGTCTCCGAAGTGATTCAAGGTGCTCGACAGGTTTGCAGGCTCAAAGCCAAACTGGGATGTAAGCTCCATCTTGGATCTCAAGGCGCTAGACAGAAGTCTTGATGTCCTGTTTTGGGTGGGAACGGTCTGATCAGTGATGGCTTCTCTGCAAGAGAATTTGGGTGTCCATAGTCCTCAACACATCTTCGTGTGCCAATTTTTTTCAGGCTCAAACCAGGGCGTCTGTGATTTTGAAGAATTACCATTTTTTGTTTTGGGGCCCTGCCCTTTGGGCTTCCCCCCGAGTGTCCACAAATCTCCTAGCCCCTGTGCTGGAATTGCTGAGGACACAGGGGTGTCAATCTCAGAATAACTTAATGTTCCTTTGCTCAGGGAGCAGTCAGTTCCAAGTTCGAAGCAAAAAGTATCCTACAATATGTCTGCATGAGAAAATGGTATCTACATTAAAGCGGTTTCCTACTTGTGGTTCCGCCCTAGGTCTTTTGTAGATTAATTTTCTATCTGGTCCAAGCTTTGGATTGCCAAAGGGCTTTGTCCCTGGGGTATTGCAGAGTCAGAATTGGCGATGATTGTTCGGAATCTGGAGAGAGGGTTATTTGTTTTCCTTCCAGTGATATGGAAGATTGTAACCACCGATGCCAGTCTCTCCAATTCTACAGCTTTGCAATTGCTGTGCTGCAGCTGAAATTTGATCATCGGATGTGTAAGACTCTGCTGTCCAGATGTGGGGGACTTGGACAAGCTTCTAAACTCTTGGAAAAAGTCTGATATTCATATATGCTCCTTTTTTGTTTTTCTTGAAAGGAAAAGCTTGATGTTCTTTTGTTAGTCCAACGTTTTTTTTGGGGTTTTTTTTAATATATATTTTTCAGCCCCAACATAGCAATGAGATTTTCTGTGCAGGCAAATCAGAACTCTTGTTTCTATAACTAGGTGCTTTCTTTCCACTGTTGACATGTTGCCTTTATGTACAGTCGGAGGCATTAATATATATTTGAGACCGGGGTAGAGTGATAGGGAAACTGCATAGATGTCATATTGTTTGTAGAATAAAGTCCATTTCATCCTCCGCACTGTTGCAGCTTACAAGTCATAGATATGCAGGCACATAAACACCATGGGAGATGGAACTTTTGCCTATTTGTATATACAGTTCATGTACTTGCACAAACCTGCTGCTGTCAAAAGCACTTGCCTCCTTTCTCCAACATGCTTCTGGTTGATGTCAAGGCAGGTGTGTTACCAAGATTCAGTCCAACATTTCGTAACAGACAGCAATGCCCCTAATAAGCCTATTATAGATTTCTGAACCGGTAAATCCATGATCCCTAGTGACCTGACCTAACCCTAAAACAACTTTTTTCCATTTTTAAGGGTGAAATATTGTCATAGGAACCCATACATAATGTGTCGCCATGCTCTACAGGCCAGTCCCACACACATGCAACTGGGAATTTTGAGAAAAACCAAATCTGGGAACCTAATTCATTGTGTGTTGAGCGCTCCTTGCGTGCTCCCGGCACATTTATCGGCACCTCACGGAAAGATCCTGACTGCTACTTGTGATCGATCGGGACCTTTCCGATCATGTGACAGCCAATCACGACTGTCACATGACCCTAAACACCGCCTGCATCCTGGCGTCACAAAGCCCTTAATGGGCCAGGAGGCACGGTTACTCTTAGCTTGGTCATACACTTACAATGCTATATAGAACTTTACTAGTTGACCAGCTTGTGCAAATGAGTGGCATTAACCACTTTCCCGCCACCCTATAGCAGATACACTGCTACAGGGCGGCAGGGGCATGGCTATTCGTGGCCTCTGGTGTCGAAACACCGGGTCCCTACCGGTGATTGAGCAGGATTACTGATGGAGGGAGAAAACTGTAAGTAAACAAAACAGCCCTCTCCCCTGCCAGCTCCTTTGCATTGCTCTGCAAAACCATGCATAGCAGTGTAAAGCAGTGTGCTTACAGTGAAGCACACAGTAAAACAGCACACAGTTACCTCTTTGATTGCCTCACATGTTAACCCCTTTCTGCCCAGTGCCATTAGAAAAATGTCAGATTTTATTAGCACTGATCACTGTAGTGATGTCACTGGGGATGTTAGTGACACCAAGTCGGCTCCCCCCAGTGTCAGAATGCTTGTCGCAGTCTCGCCAATCGCTGCCATTACTAGTAGAAATAAAGTGTGTGTGTTAGTGCTATAGTGCTATTCGCGGCTTCGTCTGTCATTCACCGGGTCCCGGCTGGTGACTACTTCCTGGCACCCGGTGATCAAGAAGCATTACCGACGGAGGGAGAGAACCGTATGTAAACAATATAGTTCTCTCCTCTGTCAGCTCCTGCACACTGCTTTGCATGGCTCTGTATGGCAGAGCCATGTAAAGCAGTGTGCTTACAGTGGAAAGCACTAACACAGCCCTATAGTAAAACTAACAGTTAACCCTTTTGATCGCCCCACATGTCAACCCCTTGCTGCCCAGTGCCATTAGAAAAATGGCAGTTCTTATTAGCACTGATCACTGTAGTGATGTCACTGGGGATGTCAGTGACACCATCAACTTCTCCCAGTGTCAGAATGCTCGCCACAGCCCCGCCAATCGCCGCCATTGCTAGTAAAAATGAAGATCCCAGTGTGTGTTTGTGTAACAAATAAATATAATATATATATATATATATATATATATATATATATATATATATATATATATATATATATATATATTATATATATATATATATATATATATTTCGCCATTTGTAAACTCTATAACTTTCACGTAAACCAATTAGTTTGCACTTATTGGGATTTTTTTTTTTTTTTTTTTTTTTTTTTAAACAGACGTAACAGAATACATTTTGGCCCAAATTTATGACATTTTTTTCCTCCCCTCCTGGACATGTTTAATGACAAAGTCAAATATATTGTGTTTTTTTGTTTTGTTTTTTTTTTATAACTTAAAAAAATAAAAACCACACAGGCAATCAAATACCACTGAAAGAAAGCTCTATTCATGGGGGAAAAGACGTAAATTTAATTTGGGTGCAGCATTGCATGACCGCAGCATTGTAACGTGAAAAATGGCCTTGTGGGTGGTGCTTAAGTTGTATTCTACACCTTCTTCCTTTTCTACTCCCAGTAGGCTGGAATGCAGAGCTAAACATGAGTTAATCATGGCTGCTGTTCAGGAATTTAAAGGGTATCGACCTGAATCAGCCATTTTTTCTTATTCTAGGATTATGTGAATCAAACAAATACTTTTGCAAAAAAAGTTGTAAACATTTCCTATGTTTACATTTAAACTTGCATGTTATACACATTTAATAAATGGTCAAAAATGAACACACTATCCTGTATTTCAGACACAGGGGAGGGGGAGGAATGTGGAAAGTCAATCCATCTCCTTTTCTCCCTCACACAGAACATGCAAGGGAGGGGTCATCCACACACAGGCACAGACTGCAGCCAGCTCTACTACAAATTGATCTCATTCTTAATTTTTCTCATAACGTTTCATCTTAGTTTCTTTACTTGACCCTTCTAATGTTAAACTTGCGTAGACCTTCAAACATTAGTAAAACGTATTTTACACATCAGCAGTACTTGGCGTTGCATTTCTGCCTTAACCACTTCCTGTCCGGACACTTTTACCCCCTTCCTGTCCAGGGCAATTTTCAGCTTTCAGTGCTATCACACTTTGAATGACAATTGCACGGTCATGCAATACTGTACCCATATGAATTTTTTACCATTTTTTTTAGACAGATAAAGCTTTATTTTGGTGGTATTTATTCACCACTGGGATTTTTATTTTTTTTACTATGTAAATGAAAAGTCCAAAAATTAAAAAAGTGTTTTTTTTAATAAAATTTTGCAAATAAATAATATTCCATCATAAATCTTGGCCAAAATTGATTCCGTTATTTTTTTAGTAAAAAAAAATCCAAATTAGTTTATAACCAAAAATTATAATTTTTAAACATTTTATTTTACATTTTTATTATTTTTATATTTTTTTATTTTTTTTTTACATACTGTCACCCTAGCAGTACAGTGTCACCATGGTGACACTGTACTACTTGTGGGGGGGTGATGAAGATTTTTTTTTTACACTGATTGCTTTTACACCCATATAGGATGTAAAAGCAATCATTTCTCTTTCTGTCTGCATTCTTGCAGTCATTGAGAAATACTGAGTGAGCTGTGATTGGTCACAGCTTGTCACATGGTACAAGGCTGTTGTGAATAGCCTTGTACCATGTGACCTCTGTGATCATTCACAGATTTCACACGTAGTAAGCAATGATGTCAGAAGTGACATCTTGCTTACTACTTTTCATGTGATCACTGATTCGCCAATCAGTGATCACATGATCGGGACCTCGTACAGAGGTCCCGTCCGACGATCGGTGTTTCACTGTGTCCGGAGGACACAGCGGGCACCGGATCGCGGTGGTGCGCGCTCCCAGGGAGCGCGCACAGCTAGAAAAGGCGGGTGCCGTTTAGGAACGGCAACCCGCAACCCCCCCCTGGACTGCACCGCCCTGCTGTTTATAAAACAGCAGGCGGACGGCAAGAGGTTAATTCAGGTAACCGTTACATTTACCACAGACAAAACATGCATTCATCATTTTTTTTTTTTTTTTCATATAGAAGTACCATTCCTCTGGCTAGCTACAAACAAAACCTGTTCCGATTCAGACACACAAAAATCTTACTTTACTGCAGTAATTAAAATCTAAGTATAAGCTCATAGTTTCCAAATCTCAAAAAAAGCTAATTACTCTGAAACTGCCCAGAGTCCACCGCCTTTTTACGATCACAAATTGAGGCTTCCTGACCATACAACCATTCCCTTGTACTTAAGTCTGTTGCCCAGTTTATCAAACACTGTAGTGTGGCATCGGTGATTAGACGCATGCATGATTGCAAGCTCTGAAGACTGGACTGAATCTTATGACTGTGGTGATATAGGACCTGAATATAGGGATTGACCAACCCCCCCTCCCCCCCTTGCAAACATAACCTTCTAAAAAAGATGGCACATTCCTGAAAGGAGGTTGGTGGGCTGGCTTGACCATATAGTCCGCTTACAATGAAATTCCTATAGTCAGCTAAGGTAACCAGGATAATAGTCTCTTACTTGTGAGGCCAACGTTTAAAGGAATATGAAATATGCAGTTTCCCTATCAAGTATGCAGAAAAATTCCTTTTTTTTTTTTTTCTTGTGTAAAATCTCCTTATTGCTATTCATTTTTTGTTTTCTGTAGGAAAAAGTGGGTGCCACAGAAGCTATGCCAATTCTGACTATTGAACGCTGCAGATCACAGGTAATGCTCATTAGGGCTGGCTTTACATCCTATGCATTGCTGTAACACATGCATTACCACAATGCCCAGTGGTGCATATGCTAATGCATTGCCATGCCAGTTATTCCACAAGGCACGATATCGCATTCTGACACTGCACTATTTTTAATGAAGCACTAAGTCATGATGCATGGCAGTGCGTGTGTTGTGTTTTCTTGTCTGGTGTGGTGCTTTGGGTCTCCTGTTTAATTGAATAGGCTGCCTTTACACAACGTTTGTTAATACATGGGGTCTCAATTTAGTTACATAGTTAGTCTGGCTGAAAAAAGACAAGTCCATCCAGTTAAACCATTAAAAAAAAAAAAAAAAAAAATTATCCTCCTACCCACAGTTCTTCCAGAGGAAGGCAAAAAACACAGCAAAGCTTGATCCAATTTGCTCCTGCAGGGAAAAAAATTCCTTCCCGATCCCCGAGAGGCAATCAGAATATAACTAACTGGATACTAACATTTATAGATAAAGTTGATCCAGGGAATATCCGTGTATCTAAGAAAGATTCCAGGCCTTCTTTAAAGCAATCCACTGAGCTGGCCAGAACCAGCTCTTGAGGGAGTCTATTCCACATTATCACAGCTCTCACTGTGAAGAAACCTGTGTTTTGGAGATTAAATTTCTTGTTGTCCAGACGTAAAGAGTGCCCCCTTGTGTTGACCTCAGGGTGAATAGCTCTACACCGAGTTCACTATATGAACCACTGATGTATTTATACATGGAGATCATATCCCCCCTTAATCTCCTCTTCTCAAGAGAATAAATTCAGTTTCTCTAATCTTTCATCATAGCTGAGCTCCTCCATGTCTCTTATCAGTTTGGTTGCCCTTCTCTGTACTTTCTCCAGTTCCCCAATGTTCTTTTTGTGAATTGGTGCCCAAAACTGAACTGCATATTCCAGATGAGGTATTACTAATGATTTGTACAGGAGTAATATGACTCTCTCTCTCTCTCTGGAGTTTATACCTCTTTTTTAATACAAGAGAGGATTTTGCTCACTTTAGAAACAGCAGCTTGGCATTGCATGCCATTATTAAGCTTGTAATCTACCAGAACCCCCAGATCCTTCTCCCCCAGTTGTACCCCCCCCAGTATGTATTATGCATGCATATTCTTAGGCCCCAAGTGCATAACCTTACATTTATCAACCTTAAAACTCATTTGCCACATAGTTGCCCAATTAAACAGTGCATTGAGGTCAGCTTGTAAATTGAAGACATCCTGTAAGGACGTTATTCTACTGCACAGCTTGGTGTCATCTGGAAAGTCTGAAATGGGATTTTTAATCCTAGACCTATATCGTTTATATATCTACTTGTCCTCAATGGTGTATAAATGAAATATTGCGTTTATCTGTACATATTATAATTCCTATATAGGAGATTCTATTAAGTGTGTCTTAAAAGGCCTCCAATCTTAAACAAATCACAATCTTATGTTACAAATCATTTACGAAAGGTAAAGCTGCACTTGTTTTACACTGGGTCATTACAATCTGAAAAAGATTGTAATGTGTAAATATGCCTCCCTTATGTCATTGGTTGTCAAGAAGTCAGTGTGATGTAGGTAGGCAATAACTGTATGTCCTCAAAAGATTAAGACCGTGAAAGGCATTGAGATGGGATGAATGCAGCTCTTGGATTTCATAATCGAACTGTAAACCAGGTTTGCATAAAAACCTTAATCTTTTGGTTGGGGGAATGGGAACATTAACCTTCTGGGACAGCAATCCCTAAATGGCTAAAAAGAGATCTGTCCAACATTGGATATGTGGAGGAAATGCTTTTTCTGATAGTTTAACTACTTCCACGATGGCATGTGGTAAGTGGAAAAGGTTTAAGTACATAGAAGGAAATAAGATTGATTTAAGGTGGTGAAAAGCATTTTGGCTCTTTAACCACTTGCCTTTCAGACGATTTACCCCCCTTCCTGACCAGGTAATTATTTGCGATACGACGCTGCATTGCTTGTGTATTGTTTACATACACATCTCTCCCCTGTCAATGTTCCTCGGAGTTCGCAGGGTGATGGCGGGGAATCTCTGGCCGGGACCTGGTGATCAACAGCTGTAGCCGCTAGGGCGGTGCGCGCACCCAGTACATGGAATTACAAAATAACGTGTGTGTGTGTATATATTGTGTGATTTTGCGCAGCCCTGCCTCTGGCTAAGCTGACTTGTACTTCCATCCAAGGGGTTAGACATTGTACTGTGGCTGTTAGGCCTTTACTTCAAGGATTGAATCTAGTATTATCAGTGTTTGTAAAGACTTCAATTTGAATATACTTGGGATATTTCCTTGATGATCCCCTTTTTGTCCTGTAAGGGGCTCCATTTCAGTCTTGCATAGACAGTCTCCTTTTTTTTAACCAAGAACCTCTTCTTTACCCAAAGCAGTCTCCTGCTTTTTTGCTCCCTTTTTATTGCCTGGATATGGTGAGGGTCAACATGCTTTACATTTCAGCAAGTTTGTTTAGGCAGACTATTTCCCTGTTTGTTCCAGAGGTTCCTAAAAGAGGTTCTCTGGCTTCCATTTCAAGTACTTCTATGTGGATTCAACAGGTCAAGGTCTGTGACTGTGCAGTCCAATGAGATCTGTGAGAAAGTGCTCCCTTTTCCGGTTTTAAACCCCACTCCACTATGGCATGTAGTGCTTCTTGGGCTTTTCATCAGGCCTCTTAGAAAACTTTTATGCATAGGACATGTTGCAGCCTTACAGATCTAAGTTACAGGTCAGTGTGTGCTCCTCTGCAGATTCTAGTTTCTGTCAAATGGTTCTCTAAGTGCCTATTTACTGCCCTTTTTTGTGTGTTTTTTTTTTTTTTTCCTCTTTGATGGGCTGGTTTATGTGTGTTGTGTGGATGTGCCCAGTACCTTTTTTAATTTGACTGCTTTTAGATGTCCCTAGATGCGGTTTCCCTCAGTGGGCAATAGAGAGAATGGGATTTATTTTATTTACCGCAACATTTTTTTCAGTCTGAGGAATAAAGCTTTCTCCCTTTTTATATTCATGGATTCTGATTTGGACTGCTTGCTACAACCGAGGAGGTGAGAAGGGTTAAAGTCTCAAGAGTGTTGGCCTTCGGCTTTCTATATGCCTAGTATCCATTTCTCCTGTAGGTGGAAGAATAACGTTAGGTTGCTTATTTTTAAGCAGTGTCCTAACTCTGAAGTCCTGGTTTACTGTTTTTGGTGTGCTTGACACAGTGACACCCTTTCTTTAAATCAATATTACTTCAATTATGTTAAAATTTTAAATTTGCCAAAAAATGCAATTTCCTATTTTTTTCATCTTGAACAATGCCATGAAATCTGATGCATTTCACCTGAGAGCACCATGACAGCAGGTTTTCTTCTTGACATACTTTTGTTCCAGTGATCAAAGGCCCTTGCACAAATTGGGGCATAGAAAAGTGCCAGCAAGGATGTAGGCTGGAAAATCAGATGACACTCATCACATCAGCACATACTTACCTTTTACTTCACTACCCCCCACTGCTCTGTTCAGCACTGTTCATGCCTCTTCAAAACTATTGACTGATGGCACTGTGCAGTGAGAGGAGTAAACCTTGTTTGGCCTGCCTGGTCATGGGAAATCTCAGAATTCCTCTATAGACACGTCCTCCAGGAGGATTCTCAGGGTCTGGGGCTGTTTTCTGACATACAAGACTGTGGTGGGTGTCTGTACAGACAGGATGCACTCTAACTTGAAGTTGCCACTTCTCTAAAGATCACCAAAACCTGAATCTTTTCCAGGGTACTCACTTGCAGGATGTGTTGTATGCCAATTAGGCTCACCCAGAGGAGTCCTACAAAAAATTGGGGTTTGAAACTATTGACCCAGCCATTTCCTACTTAAAGAGCTAAATGAGACCTAGTGGTTGAGGGTTTGAGTCTTCAAAGATCCTACAGATATGCTGTCAGAAGCCCTCTGTAAGACTTTCTTCTCTCTGGCTGGTGCAGCTCTTCAGACTGCAAAGGGAGTTTGTGAAGCCCTTAATGTTTGGGCTAAGTGTATGCTCTGTTCAAGAGAATTAAACCCAGGGGATCCTGCCACTTGGCAATTCTGGAAGATTTCCGAGAGCCTGAAGCTTCAGTGGATGCCTGGGAAGATTCTATAAACAATTTTAAGCACAGATAAGCACCATACCTGTCCACTTGAGAAGGAACCTATGGCACAAGTGATGGTCGGAGGGACTTTTCTGGAAGAAACAAAACAAGAGGCTGCCCTTCAAAAATGAAGCTCATTTGAACCATCCTTGAATGCCTTCATCCAAAAGGCGATGGGTAAAAGCATGCTCTTTACCCCTAAAGGAAAAGGTGACAGGTCAGAAAGGGGTGATGCATCTGAAATCCAAGAAGTTTGTTACATAAGCAGCAAGCCTCAGGCCCCTCCCCCTATCACCCCCCAAGTTTCTGTTTTCGCCTGCTTGGTCAAGATCATGCTATGCACATATTGATCATCTTTTGGCAAATGAGCAATGGGTTCTTCCAGATCACCCAGATTGCTGGTTAGAGGTGTTTTTAGACTGTAACCCCTACCTCCTAAAAGCAAGAGTCTTCCGAAAGGTGTACTGAAAGTTTACAGAAAGGTGTACCTCCGCATGTGTGAGGCTTGTTTGTATCGCCACCCAACACTTTGGCTTTAAATGTACCTTCAAAGGACATTCTATTTTCAAAGACAGCTCCACACCAGACTAGAGAAGACCTTTCCCTCTCATTCCTTGGTAAAAAGCCTTTTGTACAGGGTGTCATGGATTGTTCTGCTCTGCATGTGCAGGTCTCCAAGGCGACCTCATTTTGTTCTGTTTTTTGCCACCTTCTAGATATTCCCTTGTCACACTAGGTCATCTTTTGGTTGCCATTACTTGCAAGGTCTCTAAGTTGGCTATGCTTTCACATGTTGGAGTTTAAACCACAACATTAAACTTTTTTTTTTTTTTTTTTTGACCGTTTGATTCCCTGTTTATTCTGCCTGAAGGTCCTTGCAAAAGTCGGGCTTGAGAATTAGCTGACAAATCCACCTAGAAACAGCAGATCAAGAAGCAGGCTGTTATCAAGGGCAATGTGCCTCCTTTCCTGGTCAAGGCCTATTCCACCAGGAGTTGGAGCTTCCTGGGTATTTCAGCATCAAGCTGCTGATGTTCACATTTTAAGGCTCCTACCCATTCTTCTCTTAACAAGTTTATGAAGTTTTACAGTTACAGTATATTTTCCTGTCTTAGCAGGAGCCAGTTTTTGGTAGCCGATCTTCAGGCTGCTTTGTGACAAGGTCCTCCCTGTTCATTTTTAGGGTCTTGGATGTGTTTGGCCTTGTTGCGGTGTTGCCCACCCCTCATGCTTTGTGCTTTGAGACATCTCAGGTAGTCTGTGTCCTGTCATGTGCAATTACAATAAGGATTTCACATGTAAACCAAAATCCTAAATTTTCTAGAGTCCAGCACAGGACATGGGGATGTCCTTCCCTATTATTTGCTCCTCATTGCTACAAAACTGAGGCTTAGGCTGGCCATACATTATACAACTATTATATGGTTTTTGGTAAATCTAAACCAAAAATCTCCAGATAAGAGGACAAACCTAAACAACACTTTCAGTTGTATCTAATTAGGCAGGCCCTTGCACTACACAGTTTGAAGGTAAATCTAAAGGAAATTGGGCAGAAAATTGGAAGATAATTGTATAATGTATGGCCAGCCTTTGTTGACCTGGGAGGGGTTATGCCTGGGTAGAGTTCCTGCCTTTCTTTTGGACCAGTGTCCACCTGAAGGTGGCAGCGAAACCCAAGTATTCATGAATATGAAGTCCTCTTATATACTTGTTAAATCCTTTTTTTTGGGGAGTATTTTATTCTAGCTTATATGTGTATTTTAATCAATGTTTATTAGATTTACTGGAAATCGGTAAAATCTAATCCATCCTGCTGAAACTTGTAACAAAAGCAGGGGAATTGATTGTGTTCTACTAGAACTAAAGTCAAAAACAGTTTTACATGTAGACTCCTGAAGTAGACAATTAAAATGTTATGTAATCTATTGCATCGCTACTATTGTAGTAACTTTTTTTTTTTTTTTTCCTTTTTTACAGAGGCTACAGAGTAACGAGCTGCCTGATGCGTCTTCACCCGTACCAACCAGTAGAATACGAGTAGCTAAAAATTCTATTAGACTTACATTAAACCGGTAACTCGTATTAGATGACTGAAGCAATAACTGAGCAGCTCACAAAGCTATTTTGTGGCAAATGCCCGCATAGATGCTTATACATGCTGGTTTGTATGAATTGTGGAAGAATGGTAGGGATGCAAACCACCTGTTTCCAGCCCAAAGCTGCATACTGCCAACACTTTCTGCACACAATTTTTTAGTATTTTTAAAGTCCCTTTCTCACTTTTTTTTTTTTTTTTTTTTTTTTTTTTTTTTTTTTCCCTCCTTTGCAAAAAACTTTAAAAAGTAAAAAAAAAAAAAGTAATTGTATAATTTTCCATTTTGTAATGTGTTCTGTGCTTTTTTTTTTTTTTTTTTTTTTTCCCAAGCAATGTATTCTCAAAATTTGTTTAAAAACCAAGAAAAATTATGTCTTCTTTGTATACAAAGCTGTTGAGAGCCTTTGTTTTGTGTCTGTCTGTCATTTTTGTTCTGGAATCTGATTAGTGTTCCAACTTGGATTGATTTACCTTACCTCACATACTATCTGGGTTGGTAGATTTTCCTGGGTGGTAAACTAAAGCCTAGATTTCTGTGGGCTTGCCAGCACTTCATAATCTGCTTTCAATGCAGACAAAGATTTTAATTTCTATCTGGAATACATAGGTAAACTGTCTCCCATGGAGACTTCTAGGGTAGGTTAACATTTATGTTCAGGACAATATTTGGATAGATCCCTAACTTCCCTTAATTTATCAGGAAACCCTAAATGTAAATTCAAATTGCATCATCCATCCCATTAAATATAGATTGGTGTCTTGGCATGGTATACCCATGCCTCTGTTATATAACCCACACAGATGGTATTGACCACTAGAATAGTCATTAGTAAAGACCTATTCCCACAGTTAGTTTACAAAATTAATTAAAATTTCAAGACCCCTTTGCTAATCTTGATAGTCACACAACCTTTCCTGTTTCCCCATGGAATTGAAGCCCTCATTTTCAGTTTCATCTGCAGGTGAAAACTGTTATCAATTCACACAAGTACCTCTCTGACCTACAGACTTAGACCTAAGGGAACACCTGCTTAGTCTAATTTTTAATGATCAAATCGGGGGGGGAGGGAAATGTTCATATTTTTAGGTGCCTCCATGAGCCCAGCTGAACCTGTTTAGAGAAAGGTTGATTGGCCAGGATGAATTTTTCTGGCCATTCACTACTTCCTTTGAGACAGCCAGCATCTGCACAACGCCTACCTCCCTTCACTATAGGCACAAACATGCAAACTCGCCCTTGCAACAGAGAGCTAATTTGACAGCCTAGCCAATGTGTAATGACTTTAGGCAGTTTTGATTTTACAAAGCAAGTAGGAGTGTGGGAGGTTAAGCCCAGAGAAGGTATTCTGAAGCAAAAACATTCACCTTTTTTTGATTACTCCATAAAAATCTAAAATGGCTGCTAAAGTTCAGGCTTTCTGTCAGAGAAAAAGTATTCTTCTATAACTGCCTCAGGAACTATTTAAAATCTAGCTTGTGCCGATAACATTTTATTATGCTGTTCATTATTTTTAGAGATTTTTTTCACATGAATTCATCTATTTTGTTGTAAGTTTATTGTATGTGATGTCCAAATGTACTGCCAAATAAATCGTACTATAATGTAAGCCATATATTCAGACTATTTTTTGTATATCCTCATCTTTCAAACATGACAATAAAAGAAAAACTACTCCCCCCACTTTTGGTTGTGTTGTTTTTTTTTTGTTTTAGGATAAATAGTTTAACCACTTTCCCTCCAGAGGATTTACCCCCCTTCCTGACCGGGACATTTTTTTGCAATAAGGCGCTGCATTATTTTGACAGACAAATGCGCAGTCATGCAACACTGCACCCAATTAAATGCATGTCCCCCCCTCCCACAAGTAGAGCTTTCTTTCAGTGGTATTTGCCTTTGCAGGGTTTTTTGGGGTTGTTTTTTTTGCACTATAAATACCAACAATTTTGAGAGAATGTTTTTTTTGACTTTTTGCTATTAAACATGTCCAGTAAAAAAGTTGAATCAAACTTTGTCATAAATTTAGGCCAAAATGTAATCTGCTACATGTCTTTGCTAACAAAAAAAAAATCCTAATATGTGTAAATTGGTGTACGTAAAAGTTAGTGTTTATTTGTTCTGGAAATTTTTTTTTTTCTATTAGTAATGGAGGCAATCGCGCGCCTTCATTAACCCCTGTCAGTTTCATTTTTACCATCTGTTACATGGGGGAGATTTACCTTCACTTCCTGCTCCATAGCCAAAACAGGATGAGAAGAAATCCCTGAAAATTAACCACTTGCCTACCAGGCACTTATTCCCCCTTCCTACCCAGTCCAATTTTCAGCTTTCAGCACTGTTGCACTTGAGAATTGTGCAGTCATGCAACACTGTACCCATGTGAAATGTTTATTATTTTTTTCAAACAAATAGAGCTTTCTTTTGGTGGTATTTACATGCCTCTGTTTCTATTATAAAATTTTGCACCTTGTTTAGAGTGCAAAAAAATAACACCCAAACATTTTATATTTTTTTACATTTTTTGCTTAAAAGTATTTTTTTTTTTTTTTTTCTCCACTGATGTGAATTGATGAGGCTGCATGGATAGGCAGCACTGGTGGGCACAGGTGGGTGGCACTGCTGGGCACTGATAATCAGTGCCTGGATTATCGGTGCCGATCCGTACTCTGACAATTGTCAGTATTTTCCTCATGCTGCGATAACCGGCAACTGCATTTACCAGTGATCTGTGTATTGGACACAGCTGATTTGCCTTTTACCACATGTGATCAGCTGTGTTTGTAGGAGAGGGCGCTTTGGGAAGTGGTTGGCATGGGAGGGTGCATTCTGGGAGGACATCATGTGACTCCCTCCCAGAACTGGACAACCGTGCTGTAGCCGTCATGCGGCTATAGTGTGGTTGGTGAGTGGTTAAGGGAATCCTATGGGGGCCCCCAGGTCACAAGAACTAGTGTTTCCATTGGAAGATTTTTTTTTTTTAATTTACTTTCACTTTGAATGATATGTAAACAGGACAGGATTTTTTTTTTTTTTTTTTTCTTCTTCTGCTCACATATGTTTATGCATTGTTGCAATTGGGTTGGGAGGTATGATGGTTATAAGCTGACCTTGCTGTTTAGTGCAAGGTCTGCTTAAGGGTCCTTTCACACAGGGTGCACCTGTTTAGCAGATCTGCTTGTTCAGCAGGGGATCTCTCTGCTGATCTTTGCTGAGAAAACTGATGATAGCTGTGTGTTTGCTCCCCTGCTGCAGAACAGACACAGCTGCTTGCTCTCCTCAATGGATGGTTGGATGAAAATGGACATGTCCATTTACTCCCACTACTTATAGATAAGAGAGGCAGTTCCAATCTGGTCCTCATGGAAAAATGGGCAAGGAAGTCCCGATTGGATCATCCGTGTGAAAACCCTTAAAGAGAACCTGTTTTTGTCCAAGCAGGACTTATGACAAAGCAATAGTATTTAAGATCAAAACCGCACATGGACATTTTTTCTTTTGTTATCAAGCAAGATCCAAACTTGAGATTGTTTTGCTATTCATAGGCAGAGCCAATTATCCCGATGCCCGCACATGCTGTGCTACAGCTGGAAGAAGAAACCTGCCACTAAACAAGACTTAATTCCTAAAACTGAAAGCCCGACTCAAGCTTTACCAGTTCCCAATTTTTTCTAATTTTATTTAGTTCTAGAAACTGCACACCACTCACTGGTATGGAGCTGTGCTCCACACCCTTAGCACCACTTCCTGAGTGGATAATCTCAAATGTGGCCAAACCATTTCCTTCTTCAAAGACAAGCATGGCTGCACTGGTTGTATTCCTCAAATGCAAGAAGCTGCAAAGTATTTTGGGGGGAAATCAGTAAAGCTGCTGTGGCCCTTTTTCTGTCTGTAATCTTTCTTGTTAATAGGTTGTGCCAAATGCATGAAGGATCTGTGATACTTTTGGTTCTGATATTTTTATGCACCAAATTCAGGTAGTTCTAAAATGTACCACCTTTATATTGTGACACAACCCTTCAAGCATGTCAAAATAAAATTTCAACAATTTGTAGCTTACAAAAGTAGAGCTAATTAAGACACTCTTTTTGAGAGAGAGAGAGAGAGAGAGAGAGAGAGATGGATGGCACAGACAGATTTTTGTTATTGTCTCATGTTCATTCTAAAAGGGATTAGCAGGCATCAAGTTCTGGATGGCTGATGAGTTGCCCAGTAATGGCCACATCCTAAGAGTGATACTGGTCTCCTACCACCATATACGCAAAATGAATTCACCAACAATTTGGATTGGGACTTTAGGGGAACCCAGAACAAACAATGTGAAAGAACATCATGGTGTAACACACAACATTCATATAAAAACCTACAACCACCATCAAAAATGAATGGTGTATGTGTGTGTGTGTATATGTATATGTATATATGTATATGTATATATATGTATGTTTATTTTCTCGCCTTAAGCTGAGCTATAATGTTGCTGCTTCTCTTACAACTCAGGACAGTAAGGGAGAGTAAGTGTCAGCACCGAAACTGACACATTTCAGAACATAACCATTTCTTCAAAGGTATGCTGAAGGAGAAGATGGCCAGCAAAAACATTCTACAAAATGTACTGGATATACAGTGGATCAAAATCACAAACCATGACAATAAAATATATATATAAACATTTACAGCCTACATCCCATCTAATGTTCTTCTGGAATGATCCAGTTGTCCAAAGAAGTGCAATAAACACTTTTGTTCCAAAATGCTCACTGGTGGTGCACCCAAGAATAGATGACAACAGAGGCTCACACGGGAGCAGAAAGGGGGAGAGACCAATAAATCCCCAAGAGGGGCACAATCCTCTCATACAGGGATCGCCTGGCACAAAGCAGACAGTAAAACGCAGGAGGTCAGTGCAAGCCTATTAAAAGTACAATATGACACCATTACCTTGTCTGCCCTTTAAGGACAACAGACAAAAAGAAGAAGGAAGTT